GGGGGGGGGGGTACTCGAAATTGGGATCGTCGACGACCATTTGCTATTCCTGGTGACACTATTCGACTATGGTGATGCCCTGGCGCCATCCGATGTATCCACTCTCATTCGGGTCGCATGTTTAACAATATCCCTGGGGCGTATGTAGCTTGTTTAGCCACAGACTTGCAATAAGCGGAATGCCACATGGTAGGGCCTGCTGGACGACTCTTTATCGGAAACACGAGTCAGGTCTCGCGAATTGCGCCGAATACCAACGAGTCAATGTATTGGACGGACTTTCATCCCGACTTCGAGGTCTGAAAAGTGAGTCTCTTAGCGTTACTCTTCGAGGGGATTCGCAATACGGGTGCATGCCTTCTGTGCCGGGATTGCTACTATATATGAGTAGCAGGTATATCACTCCAAACCACACCGTTAAGATGCGGTCTTTGGTGAAAACTCAAGATAAACTGACCGTTTATCAAGATGTACACCATTCTTCTACCTCTCTTGGTTGTCATCTGTGTCTCCGTGAGAGCAATTTACCGTATCTACTTCCATCCCCTTAGCAAAATCCCAGGGTCCAAACTAGCAGCTGCCACTCACTTGCATGAGTTTTACCATGATGTTATTCGTGGTGGAAAGTTCATATGGGAAGTTGAGAAAATGCATAGAATATATGGTAATTTGTCAGACCACTGTTAATGCGACACACTGACGATAGTTGAAGGTCCAATTGTGCGAATTAACCCGCGAGAAGTCCATATCGCTGACCCATCTATGTACGACGAGATCTATGCTGGGTGTGGCCGAAAGCGAGAGAAGGATCCGTGCATGGTGTCAGCTTATGCATCATCGTATGCGGCGCTGGCAACTGTCGATCATGACCTCCACCGCGCTCGTCGAGCCCCACTGAATCGGTTCTTTTCGAAGAAGGCTGTAATTGAGCTCTCCGGAGTCGTTCAGCAAAAGGTTTCCTTTCTTGCCTGGCACCTGGAACGGGTAAATGCCGAGCAAGCGGTGCTCGTTTTAAGTACAGCTTTCACTGCACTTACGGGAGACATCATCACACACTATCTCTATGGAAAAGACAACGGGTATCTGAGAGAAAGAGACCTGGTCAAAAGAAACATAGTATGGGACATTTTGGCTGAGGGCACTAGTGCCTGCCATTTGTTCCGCTTTTTTCCGTTTATTCCCACCCTAACCAAAGCTTTGCCAATACAGCTCATGCGCCTTGTTCGTCCTGAACTGTCTAATGTTTATGCCATGCAGGAGCAGATTGCCCGTCAATCAGACAAGGCTCTGGCGTCTGAACGAGGGGCAAAACGAAGGACAATCTACCTTGCTCTGAGTGATCCCTCTGTACCTGCCCGCGAGCGGTCTGTAGCTCGCCTGCGCGATGAGAGCTTTATTGTCCTCCTCGGGGGCACCGAAAGCACGGCAGCGACATTGACGTTTGCCACATATCATCTTCTGCGAAATAAAGACATGTATTTCAAGCTCCGGCAAGAACTACAGCAAGTCATGCCCGAGCCAACTAGTGAAGCGGATTGGGCACAGCTGGAGCGGCTGCCATACCTGGTAAGCAATCGAAACCAATATGCGTGCGAGCATTGACGCTAAGCATTGAGTTGTGGTTATTGATAGACGGCTGTCATTAATGAAGCTCTCCGGCTTGGAGCAGCGGCTTTGAGGCCAGCGCGAGTGGCACCAACAGAGACACTATATTATAAGGGATATGAGATCCCGCCTGGCGTAAGCATATCTCTTCGAATACGAGGATAGAAAGCTGACACTGGTGTATGAAGACTCCGGTCAGCACAATCAGCTATTTCGTCCACCGTAATCCTGCGATCTTCCCTGACCCTGAAAGCTTCAATCCCGAGCGGTGGATCCAAGCTGCCAACCGAGGGGACAACCTTACCAGGTACCTAGTTCCTTTCACACGAGGCAGCAGGATTTGTATTGGCATGAAGTGAGTACGGAACCTTCCACTTCTGATGTATAATGTGAGCTCATTGTGATCAGCCTGGCGTATGCAGAATTGTACATGACGCTGGCAGCCATTGTGCGTCGCTTCGACCTGGAACTTTGCGAGACGCACCCAAAGGATATGGAATTCACGCGAGAGATGGTAGTGCAGCGTCCGGAAAAGGGAGTGTGGACGCTCAAGGTTCGAGTAGTGGGAATCAATGAGACGTGACGAGGAAAGTCACATGAGCCCTGTTGCTCTTGCCCATTTAGGATATTGACATTGTGGTTTATTTGCAAGCTATGGTACAGTATGATATAGACACCCAGACGCTTCGTATATGAACCAGAGATGAGAGCGTTTAAAAATTGATGCTATTACCGGAACTCCAACAACAACACCGATGGCCAAAGACTCAATATTCAGACTGCACAGATGTATATCACCTCCACTCTCCCACCCGTTCAAACGGCTTAACGACCCGCGTTGCTTCCATGACCACAAGGGAGCGTGCCATATCAACAGCAGTAATCTTAGCGTCCACGATACTGAGGATATCCAGGTCAGGCGCGTCCGACATCTCCTCGGGTATCAAGACCTGGCAGCGAACTCCCAAAGATGTGATAACAGCAGCATATCCATTTCCGTATGGCGTTCCAGCCATGGAGGTGCTGCTGTATGGCCGCTGAATCAAGCATTCGAATGTCTCGGGTAGTGGGCACTCGGAGAAGTAGAAGGCACGGAACAGAAGCATGCATGCCCAGAATTGCTTCGAGGCCAGATCACATTCCCGTATGCGATTGCGCTTCCACCGAGACCGAGAAATATATTCATCAACATATTCACGAGAGAAAGGAAGAGCAGGCTCATCCGTATGGGCGTCCAGGCGGCGGCCATGCTCGTGTTCGAAGCGAAGCGCAGCCTCAATTTGATAGTGAGCAAGGACGTCAGTGTACCGCCGTAGAGGACTGGTTGCTTTGACGTAGGCGTCAAGTCCAAGAGGCGTATGGTGGAGAGGACTAGACGAAGAGACACCCTTCGGGGCTGCCAACTGCAGCCAAGCTTGCCCTCCGTATTCGGACAGATTCTCATTGGTTACTTTGGGGTATTCCGGATGATAGTAGGTTCCGTCATATATGGAGGGAATGTTGCGTTCGGCCAGCCATTTCCCAGAGACCCAGCAGGCCAGGTTCATTAGAGTCGAGATAAGGTTGCGCTTCGTCATATCAGGAACTTCGTGAGGATCAACTTTTTGTTGGGCCAGTTCAATGACGGGATCGCCAAGAACGTAACGCCCTTCAGTCACCTTCATATTGGATGGTGCCAAAGGCTCTGTCCCTGCAGCCATTGAGAGAGAGATGTCGGGCGATGAAGGCCATTCCATGGCGCCGTTTTTGCGACGATGTTCCCGGAACGCCAGCATCAACTGTCTCAGCGTACGGAAATTGGACTCATCCTTTTCATCTACTTCCTCCTGTAACTCCTCACGCAAATTCCGCTTCGGCAATTCTCCCCCTACTCTCAAGGGCTCCAATTCCTTTTCAGGACTAGGTTCGAAAAGACTGCGTAGCTTGCCGTGTGTTATGTAGATGACGTTTCTAACCACTCCATTCGTGATGTTGGTATCAAGAACTTCGCCTTGCAGATTCATTTTCGCGCTGAAGGTGAGAGTTGGACGGCCTGGAGCCAAACTGAAGTGTTTCTGCGTGAGGGAGCTCGGGATCATGGGATATGTACGCTCCGGGGCATACATTGTCTGGAGACGCGATGCGGCGTACTGCATAACCTTTCCTTCAGAATCAAGGAATGCAGTAGGGTTGGCAACATGTACGCGGATCCAAAATGTATCGTTCATTCCCGGAATGCGCTCAAGAGATACGCCGTCGTCAATCTCCTGGGCAGTGGCATCATCCACACAATAAACCGGTAGGTCACCCCAGTCAGTACGCACATCCTTCATCTTATCAGGAAGCTCCTGAGAGTTGAGCTTTTCCGACTCTTGCTGGACTTCCTCCCACGCCGCATCCGAGCTGGGAGAAATGCCGTGGCCGGGAAGAGCCAGGCCTTGGTCGAACAAGCGGATATTCTCCCAGGGGTAGAAAACACCCAGTTCTTGTAGGAACAGAGTTGCTGTCATAGGATTCAGTTCCACAGCGCCATACATGCCTGTACTGCGCATTATGTGCGAACCGGCCGAGCGCATGGTCCCAGACGTCATTCTGCGCGGCGGAAGACACCATAGTTGTAAGTACTCGATGATCATAAGATCGGTGTCACTGAACTTTTCTGTAACCATTTCGCGATAGACCGTAGGTTTACCATCCTGGTCCGGGGTGAACCGATGAGCACTTGGGCCGACGCAAGCCATGGTTGTTGGCGCCCGCGCGGTTCGGCTACGCTTGATGAGACGCTGAGCCTTTTGGACGAATTTTTGTAGAGGATGGTCCTTCAAGTTGGGAAGCCCCTTACCATTTACGTTCAGGTAAAGGTGATCTTGGTGCTCGTGTGCCCACGTGGTGACCGTGTCCAACACTCTAGCGATCCGTCTCGGTTTGACTAGGTAATGGTTGGCAAAAAGCGAACTCCGATCATACTCGATGAAGAAAGCATTAGCGTGAGCGACACGATGGACGAGGAACAAGAGCACATCGTTCAGCTGATCCCTTTCAATATCAAGCGCCTTGCAGGTCAGCTCCTCCAAGGTATATTCACGGTAGTTTTCCTCATCGGCCACAATGTCATGAATGCTGTCCAATCGGGCTGCATTTGCGCGGTACAGCTCCTGCGCCTCTTGGTCGAATGTGTACATTTTCTTGAGAAGCTCCGCACCAACATTTCTCGGGACTCCGCCTTCGGTCACAGATTGGAACTCGGTCTTCATCTGAGCAGCAGCGCCCGGGACGTGCGGGAGCAGGGGCGCAACCATTTCTGGAGGCACAAATCCCTTGACGACATAGTCAAGATCCTTGGCAAAAGCGATCCGCCATTTCCCCCTGTCTGTATAGAATTGTTGCTGTTTATGGATGGAGCGGATGTAAATGGCGAAAGTCAAAATGCCGTCGACGCTGTTTTCGCAAAGAAGTTAGCGGCCATAGCACAGCGGCACAAAGTAGTATCCTGCACTTACGCAGTCATCGCCACCAGATCACCCGGCTCCAAGTATTGATGTAGTCCCTCTCCTTCATCGGCCGAGTTTGTGAATTCTAAGGAATCATCTGCCGCTCGTAGAGCATCGCTTCCGGCATCGCGAGCCTCACGGTTGTCGTTGAGCATGTTTCCCACCCAAGGTGCCGATGCGTCCAGGGAGTTCGAAGTCCCTGGGCCTCGGACAGGGTCCAAGTCGTTGGAATGGGACTGCTGCCATTTTCGCAGGTAGGTTCGGATGTCCTTGTGCTCGTCAAACTCGAGCTTGAGACGGAGGTTGAGAACCTCGGTTGACGAGTTTAACAGGTCCTGATCGAGATACTACCAAGAAATTAGAGTTAGCCAGCAAGGTTTGACAAGATTCAACGGGTCCGTACCTTTGATCCTGTGCTAAAGCATCTCCGTGATACAATTTGTGAGCAATCTGAGAGATTGCTGCGGCGTAAGATAGGTGGCGCGCGCGAGCCAGCTCCGCAAACAAGTCTCGGCGTGAGCGCGTATTTCACACCAGCCGCTCTCTGAAATACTCTCGTCTTTGGGAGTAACAGAGGCATTCTGGACCACCCATCATACATGCCCACAACCTTGAGCTCAATTCCTTGATGGGCGAAAGGCGTGGAAGCAGGTGCGGCGAATCTCCGCGGCTGTAAAATCTATATACTGCCGGCAGTTGCCACTTACCGCTGGGGCGGTGAGTATGCGTACCTGGCGCTTCCCCGAATCCCGAAATTTGCCCGAACTATGCAATTGTTGACTTTGGGGGTGTGAGCTACTATTGTCCTTGTGGAGGGGTCGAAAGACTTCCATAGAAGCTTATCTATAAACAAGACAGTAACTCATTACTCTATGCGTGATCTGAGCACTTTAGCTCATCATAATGACGGCTGGACTGTCTACCAATAACTGAGACTGTGTAAAGTGCCATGAAACATGGTGCGTGAGTGATTTAGTTTTGACCATCTGCATCTAAAATTAACTTGGGGGAAATACTACGGTGCATATGCCTTTACTGCACTGGCTTAATAGTCAATTGTCTCCAGTCAGTGGTGGTTGGTAGATCTTTGTGAAGCGCTTGATATGCACAATATATATACTACTATGCTCCTAGTATGTGTGAGTATGGCTAGGGTTTTGTAGTTCCTAATTGATGGCCAACTCTGAGACGTCGGCAGAAATATGCAATCTACTTAGTACTATGATCAATTTTCATACAGTCTTCAAGTCTTCGTCGAGCAGCATCCGCTATTACCAGGATGATTCAAGCCATCGTGGCTTCACTGGCAACTACAGAGACATGCTTCATGCCAAGAACAGAACATATAACAGTCAAAGAACTCTGGCTTTGAGCCAATTCTTGATGAGGGAATCGCTGTGGGGGAAGTCTAAGCATGTATGCTGGTAGGTTCTGGTTGAGACGTTCATCGCTGTGAAAATAATGAGCAATGGATATTTCCATCTCATTGAAGGATAGCATAAACACCCTCGTGCTACTAATGACAACACGCCTCGAAAAGCATATATTATCCAATATCAAGCTTCCATAATGCTTAGCATGCTGGGATCTACTAATACTGCCAAATCTGGATTGGGTAGTAGATACCAATACCAGCAAGCCCCTTAGGAAATTCGGAAATCTTGAAGCGCTACTAGAATGACGAAGAAGCCATTGCGTGTACGGCTAAGAGTCACTCTGCTGGATAACATGACCTTGTCATAGTTGATACTACTTTGACCTGCAGTGACGATTCTGCCTGGTTCGCGGGCTTTCTGCATTAGTCTTTGAGAACTACTAGTTCTGCGCAGGTCAACAACTTGTCTCTTCGACGGCAAGCAGTATGCGCATATCGAAGCATTGACCAACGATACAACATTCCTCCTAGAGTAAGGCCTCCCCCCAATCAAACCGTTGGCGCGGGACAATATGAAGACCTAATATCAACATTGGCACGTCACCAAAGCAGTGAGTTGTACTCTCAGCATGATTGGCTCCTTCCTCCCGATGCTCGCAGTTACCAGTAGCATAAACAAGGCGAGAGGCGCAGTCAATACTAGTAGTTGTCTGATCACGACAACTTGAATCAGCTAATGCAGGAGTGGCGCAGGATCAAATCAACTTCCAAGCAATCCGCAAAGGGGCCACGAGATTTACGTCACGATCGAGCTCTGCCTCTACAAATTTACCGGACACGATGAAAGTCCAAGCAGCTATTAATTATTAATCTAGTTCAACACCAAATCAACAAGCGCACTAGAAAGAGAATACTATCCATATCCTACCAGCTCCATACATGAGCATTATACCCAAACGGAGACGTACCAAGCACCTATGTACAATTAAACAAGCCTCAAAAACACAACCAGACAGCGACAATACTAGCATGATAAACAATCCCCAAAGCGGTACAAGTAGCAGCAGATTCCATTCCTAAGACCATATCAAGGAATATTGCCGCTCACTCTCAGCCAATACCCATAACCACAACATCCCGTCGACAATCCTTCCACTGAAGGTACGGGTCATATACCCTGAATCAATGCGCTTCTCCACGAAACAATTCCAGTCAATCTACCCGCATATCCTTAATATAGAAAACGCCACAGACGACTCTCCCGAGAAGCTGGACGGCGACAGTGCGATCTGCATTGCAGGCGCCTCCCATCCCCATCCCCATCCAAGTACAGGCGTACTGACCCTCTGATAGTAATAGACGGAATGAGGCTGAGCAAGTCCCTCTCCCCACTGCAATAAAACCCCATAATACTCTCCGCGCCAATCATCCACACGCCAGACGTCTCAGGTTCAATTAAGCTCTCGTGGGTCGTTGGCCAGGAACGTTCCCGCTATGGCATCTCCAAGCGCCGGTGTGGAGTAGACCCATCCCTGTGCAGCCCTAGCTTTTCTTACCGCGCACTTACTTGAGCTCATCTTTTTGATAGCTAGCTATGAAGTAAGCGCTCGCTTCACCTTCTCCAAATAAAGCTCTCCAAACAAGTCTGGACAAGACTCTACCGTCCCGTCGGCGCTTCATCACGCAATGAGAGCTCAGCAATCAAGATCCAGATGGATCATCGTCGGTCGGATCTAGAACACGGCACGGGTGTAGCTAAATTTGTCTGGGTCTGGAACTTGAGCTCGTGTGCTGTAGATTCTCGTCTAGCTTTATGGTCTGAATAGGTGCTTGGGAGAGGAATATTTAAAGAGGTTTGTTCTTGTCCTCAAATTGCTTTGTCTACACTCAAGCCAAACAGCGAAAACTCACGGCCTCTCTCAGTCTTCTTTGCTATTGTCTTTATACATTCCTTTCAATTGGATTGTTGTGCTACTACACTCCTTTGTATCACTGTTTGATCTCAATTGTCGTGTTTGCATACATATTAATCACGGCCATTTGGCTAGCGGTCCTTTTCGTGTGATTGGAATACTGCACAACACTCCCTTCTGTTTACAGCTTATTCTCTCGCGAAGTATACGGCATCGAGCCATTTATCCTATGATACACTCATCTATTCGCCATAGCAGATACAGCTACCATCAACAAAAAGAAATCGAAAGAGAAGAAGATGGCACCCCACGGACTCCTCGGCGCAACCTTCGTCTGCGCGCGTATCATCCAGCTCTGCTCACTTGTCGCTATCATCGGGCTAACAGCCAACTTCATCGCCGAGATCGTCTCCAACGGCGCCACGCCCCCAGCAATCTTCATTGGAACTATCACAGTGGTATGTCTTCACCCTCCTTCACTAGGCACCTACACAACACCACCCTTCTAACCAAACCATGACACCTAGACTAGCATCGCAGTGATATACAGCTTCATCACAACCATCCTCTTCCTCGACAACATCCTACACTTCCTAATCTCAGCCATCCTCGACACTCTCCTCCTCATCGCCGTGATCGTGGTGTCAGTCATCATCGGAAAGCCGCTATCCTATCTGCAATGCAACAAGCTAAGCAGCGACGGTTCAAGCGGATCATCGGCGTATACGTTCGCGACGCATCTGAGCAGTTATTTGGAGGATCTGAGTGGCGGGACAGTCAATTACACAGCTTGGATTGGGGCGAGTAAGTCAGTGTGTTTGGAGGCGAAGTCGATTTGGGGGTTGTGTATTGCTATGTGGTGAGTGGAATTACCTCCGGAGGGGATCCGTAGATCGAGCTAACGATGGTGTGTGCGCAGTATCATGTTCTTCTTCTCAGGCGTTTGCGGGCTCGTGCTCTGGAGACAGAAGAAGGCGGCGGGTGTGGAGAAGTTGGATGGGTAGATGATGCGCGATATGCTGATGTTGATGATGCTGAAGACGACGAAGACGATGGCGCTAATAATGCTGCTGACGGTGATGATAATACTGATGCTTTCAATCCCCCAACCCCTCTTCTCCCCTAATGCATTCCCTCCCACTCTGTCCATTTCATTCCTTCTCTTTCCTATGTTGCCTTCCATTCATTCTCCATTCAAATATATCCAAGCAACCCCACCCTAATACTCCAGACTTCCCCCGATCCAGCGCATGTACCTTTTCTATTTCACACTATTATGTACCTATACCAACCATAATCAGCCAAAAACAACAAACCCACTAAACAACCCAGCCCCTCTCTCTCTCCATTCTTTACACACATACCATATAGAAAGTAAAATCACCCGGAACTAACCGGCGGAATAACCGCAACTTCATCCCCGGGATGAATCATCACCTGAATATCAGCCTCTACATCAACATACTCATCCCCCAGACTAACCCCACAGCTGGTCAACACCTTCTCCTTTATCCCCGGGTACATGGACTCGAGGGTATCGAAGAGCTGAGGGAGCGGTAAGGGGGCGGGGAGTCGTTCGGTTTGTTTGCCTGTGTAGGTGGAGGCGGAGGCGAAGTAGTGGATTTGGAATGTTGTGCTTGTAGACATTATTTGGGGACGGATGTTGTTGAGTTATAATATCAGGAGAAGGGGGGGTGGATGTATTTATTTGTTATGTTGGTTGGTTGGTTGGCTTGGTTGAGGGGGATTGGGGAGGGGAGAAAGATAGAGAGAAAACAAAGCCGCCGTGCGGGGTCTGCTGATAAGGACATGGATAAGAGTGGCGGCGGGGTTGTCCAGTTGGTACGGAGTAGGTTTTCAACTTTATTACTACAGAGATCAAGAGACCATCTTATTACTAAAATCATGTGAAGTACCAAGTTACTGTCTTTGTATATCGTTTAGTTCTGTCATTATTTACCCTCGACTAATTCCTTGAACGCGTTCACCAGATCCTGCCGGAGATCCTCCCAGTTCTCCAACCCAACACTGATGCGCAGCAACCGGCGATCCACTGTCGCATCCGACATTGTCCGCCACTCAATCAACGTTTCCACTCCTCCAAGACTGGTGGCATGCTGGAAGAAGGCCAGCTTGCTCGGGAGTTTCCGAGCAAAATCCTCCGTCTTCATGGTGATCGAGAATACCGGTCCGAACCCATTAGGCATCTGCTTCAACAGCCAAGACTCATCTTCCTTCTGCAAGCTGGCGTGGAACACCTGTTCGAGGGCGCGCTGAACCACAGCTTCGTCACTTCCCGGAGCCGGGCTGGGCGCACGCAGTGCATCGTTCAGCCAGGATACAAGACTGGTTGCGTTCTGGCTCTGGCGCTGCACTCGGACTTCCAGAGTCCGCAAGCTGCGAACGCCTAACCAACTCTCCATGTTCCCCATAACACTGCCCAAGAAGACCCGGTCCTCTAACAGTTGTTTCGCCCAATCCTCACGCTGTGTGGCAAGGACTCCGCATAGAACGTCACTGTGTCCGCCAAAATACTTGGACCCCGAGTGCATCACCAAGTCGGCGCCCCACTCGAAAGGGTCTTGAAGGAAGGGCGGAGCAAATGTACCATCAACGATGAGGTACGCGCCGCGAGAATGAGCCTTTTGGGCATACGCTTCGATATTGAAGGCGGTTCCCTCGGGATTGACCGGCGTTTCCAAGTGGATCACGTCGCCAGCCTCCAGCTGCTCGGCCGGGCAATCCAAATCTAGCTTCTGAAGCCCAGTCAGGCGACTGAACAAAGAGATCACGCCATGGCATCCGTGGTAGCCGTTTCCAATGGCAATCCGGCGAGGTTTAAGCAGGACGAGCGCCGCGTGCAAAGCCGACAGTCCCGAGGAGTAGCTAATGGCCTGTCCGTTGAGGAGTGAAGACAAGATAGCTTCAAACCGAGTATAATTAGGGGCGGTCAGCCGAGAATAGACGTGGGCTGTGTTGTTCTTCTGATCCTAAACACGGGGGCACGATTAGCACCGAGCTCGGAGTGCATTCGGTCGGGGAGCGAAAGACATACCCCACTGCGGTCGGCCCAGGGCACTAAATCATCGGGGTTGTCAGAGTAGCGGAAAGTAGTGGCTACGTGAATTGGCGGAGCTACATCCGTGACGACATTCAGGGCATCGTCGACATGTAGAGCGCGCGTGGAGGCGCCCATTTCTCGATTAGCGGGAGCCATGGCGATGATGTGAAAGAATGGGAAGAAGAAACATCAGGCCGCGCGGACGCAACCGGGTATGCCGGGCATTCGGAGATTTGCTGTCGTGACTCAGGAAGAGTGGGGAAGGGGAGCCGAAGAGGGGGTGAGAGCTGCTCCGCACCGGATACCCGGCACGTGACGCGTGGGCCGACTAGTGGGTTAGGTGAAAATGGTTGGATGAATGGATGGATGAGTGCTCAAGAAAGAAGATGGATAGTGAATAATCGGTGGCAGTCGGATTCAGCTTCAAGCTTAACGACGCAGAGAGCTCATCCTCGACGGCTCACGGACTGACCCGGGCACAGCCGCATGGAAATTCGTCCGATCTAGGAAGTATCAGCATCGACACCAGCGCATACACATGAGCCAGGGATTCACTCGGCATACCTGCTTCAGAGTCAAAGGCAATCGAAATATCGTCGTGCTCCATTGGATAATCCGGAGAGTCCAGCGAGACAAAGTCCGATGCCGGGTCATCTTCAGTCTTCGGCAGAGCAAATTTGGCATCCACAATCCGAACCCCAAACTTGCCAGCTTTCCCGAAGCTCTCCAAGGTGTCGGTGCCTTTCAGAACAAAGTTCATACACTTCCCATGATGGAAGTCACTGAAGAAGGCTACCAGCTGCACTATCCTATCGCGCCGGATCACTTGGATGCGAGCCAGGCTGGATTCCCACTTCTTGGTGATCGGGACAACCATCCGGCGTCGTGAGATGGCGAACGAGGAAGCCACACTATATGGCCAAGATCAGTTATGAACCCTCTCAACAAGAATCAACCATGCATACCTGTCAAAGAGCACCTGGTAGCCCGTCACAGCTCGTTCGAACATATGAAGATCTGAGACGTATATCAGTACATACTCTTCATGCTCAGTGTAAAGAGCAGTGGATATTACCTTGTACAGATGCGAAGTCGAATCGGCGGATCATCGGTTTAGCCATGGCGGTTTGTAAGAAGGCCGATATCTTATCCGGCATCTCTGGAAGGACTAGATTTTCAGCGACGGATACAGTCCAGTCTTTTTGCCCAGGTCGGTACAGACTGAGCCCCGTCCGGTTGTTGACATCGAGCCCCAGCTTCAGTTCACCGGGCCCTACAATTTTGTCAGTGGGGTTCTCAACAGTCTTCTGAGAAACATACCGAGATTGATCCGATCCGTAACAGACCCCCATTCGGTTGCGATGAAAGCACGCAGGTTCTCTGATAGCACCGTTGGACCGTACCCATGCTCAACATGTGTATGTTCCCGGTCAATGATCGAGACTGTACCGGCGGGGAATTGGAGGTGTTCCTTTGCTGGCTGCCCAGTGTTACGGTCGGCAGGCTGTTGGACAGTGTATGCACGGATAGGGATCTCAGGTGATTTAACCTCGTTTGCCTTAGGCTGGATACCCAGAAGCAAGGAATGCATGGTTGTGCGATCTTCTGATTCATAGAACGTCATCACCATAGAACGGGTTCTCCCTTCCTCCTTGACCTTGAGTAGAAGGGCTGGCGCTCCATCCTCGCCTCGGAGCAGACCGAAAACAACAGGTGTACCGAACCCAATGGTGTGACGCACGCTGCTAAGCGTTTTGACTTTTGGGCTCGTGAGCACCGCAAGGCGGAACCCTTGATGCAGTATTCTATTCCCAGTACCCTCAGTCAGAGTTATGGTCTTTTCGAACAACCGAAGCCGACACCGCTCGATAGGATCAGCGGGGAAGGCTTTCGGTGTCCCAGGGTCCATATACTGGAATGACTTTAGAGTGTTTTCAAAAATTACTGTTTCGCCCGACTCAGCCTGCAGACTTGCTTCGGTCTTGCGGGTGTACTGGACAATGTTCCAGATATTCTTGAAATCATCCTCTTGAAACGCGACCTCCAAAACGAACCCACGTGGCAGCTTCACCCTGATCGAATGTGACCGGACTAGCCAGTCCACGCTGTCCCAGGTAGGGCCCTTTTTCCTGTCCGACTGGATCATAACGTTGACAAGTTCATTCTGACTGGTTATGGCGGCGAAGACATACCAGTCGGCACGATCACGTATAATGGACAATGCGCACGGCATAGACAGTTTCGGCATGTCGTCTTCATTCGAGCTGACAAGAACATTAACAAACATGGTCCCATAGCTAAAATAGCGGCTGGTATCACTGAGTGGCATTGTTTGTACAAAGGAAGGGGCCTTTCCTGCCGTGTCCGCCAGCAGTGAGCTTGTTGCTGTACCTGAGAGGACCGCCGCCACGTCCAGAGCGAAGGATGGATATCGCATCCAAACACTGGTGTCAACTGGTATGGCGGAATCGCCTTGCGATGCAATAGCCACGAGGATGTTGTTTCGTTTGATAGACATGGCTAATGAGCGAGAATGGTTCATGATCGCCTGGTGTAGGCTAAGGAGATCGGCCAATTGTGCGTTCCCGGTCGTGTTGGCTACTGCAATCACAGCATCGATACTCCTTGCGCCATAGCGGGTCACCTCATCATGTTGAGGGACAACGTGTTCATTGATCCATAGGGCCTTAGCAAGATCCACGATGGCTTGCTTCGCGCTTTCTGTAGAGCTGAGAAGGGGTGATCGTGTGCCAGAGCTGGAGGGTCGTGAGCGTGCATAAACTTCGAGCCTTTTCTTCCCCCGCAGAAACCACCACACCTCAGCTCTCACCCATTCGGACAGAGAGGTGTCCTGTATGGGCCTGGCATCTTCTGCGGAGGCTTGGATCAAGCTTTTAAACTGCGCCATGTACGCTTTCAGATCAGTGAAGGCGGTGTCGCCCAGTTGATTAGCAACAGACCGCAACGTAAACTTTGGCGGCTGGGGGTTCCGGGAAGTATCGCGGTTATCCCTACTAGCTGGACGAGGTGGCCCGTCAGGTTGGTCCGCAATCTTGGGTATGATCTGCCGTTTTGGAGGTGAAAGGCTTTGGGCACTTCCTCCGGGAGAGAGTATAGAAGGAAGGACGGGGGTTTCAGGACTGCGATCGACTGGGCTGCGATCGATGTGAGGAGGGATTTGGGGTTCCCGAAACGGATTCTCTGGTGGGCTGGGTTCTGTCTCGGACAGGGGAGGCGTCTCATAGGTTGAACTGGGGCTGTCAGGAACAGCCTCCGCCGGACTTTGCACCCCTGCTTCATCTGCAGGGGAGGGTGGATCTGGCAGTCGGTGCTGCAAAGCACGTCCCTCCTCAGCTTGCATCTTGTCCCGTATACGTTGGGCAAACGAGTGGGACTCGGGCGAAGCACGGAATGATAAGCGCGACCCTCTTTCTCCCAAATTCAATGTCATGAGGAAATCAGCGTCCTGAGGGTTTTGTAGCAACAGCGGCTTCCAGTCCTCTATGCGTGTCCCCTTCTGCGCATCTCTCTGCTGTGGCGCCGGGGCATTCAAATCACCAAACGAAGTGTCCAGACGAAGTTGAGG